ACACGCTAATAAACGCATGGGTAGACGCTTGTTTGTAAACAATGACACGCTATGGCTACCTGACGCATGCGCAGGTGACGACACCCCCGCTTTAAATGGCAAATCATTTAGTGGTGTAGTCTGATAATGTTGTTAAAAAAACATATAATACGCATTTTTTTGAAGCTCGGAGTGCAATAATAGTGGATTTAAAACCAGTAAAATGGAGTGTACTTTTCAAAAGGATTCATTTGATACCGTATGTAGGATTTGAATGAAACTTCGAACACGCTCAAATAAACGTTATTATTATTGGTGTGTATGACAATATAAACTAATATTAATTTGTGGAAATGTCAAATCTAAAATCAGTTTAAAGGACGCTGGGTTTATATACTCCTCACTGCTCGTGTGATACATGCATCGTATCATACTCTATCGATGTTTGGTCGGAGATTGTCAAGAATGTCATTAAAATAAATGTTAAAAATTGAGCGAAAACTTCATAAATCTACAAAGAGTCAACACTACGATAAAGGACTTTCAGTTTTCGGCATTGTAAAATTGTTTCGTTTTTTATAGGGGAAATATGTCATTTTCACCAAGTGAATCATATTTATTAAAGTTATTGTTTATACATGAGTTGTTGCATAGTTTTCAGTTGTTTTCAGCTATAATTCAAGACAAATAAAATACCAAACAAAAGAGAATATAGTATAGCAAATTATGTTTTATCCCTAATATTTAAGTGTAAAAATTATTGTTGGTGTGCATATGGAATATATTCCCTTATTCGTAATATATTTCTGAATTTACTTGTCAAAATCATTCGTTTTAGTTTGTTTTCAGAAAAACGAAAGAATTTCGAAACGGGGGTCTTTATTGTATAATCAAACAAAAACCATACATCTATAGCATAGACTCTGTGCTATCACACAAACCATTGTCACATGAATATTAATCATTCAAAATTCGAGCACGTAGGCATGATTCGAGTGATTCCGATGATTTAACAGTGAATATTATACATCATATTTTCAAAATATCGCGTTACAAAATCCGATATATACTTCGTTTTCTCAATATATTTCAAAAGAATTGAAGAAATGTTGGTAGGATGAATGAACTGGTACAAATAACTCGTGTACGAATGATAATGGTAAGCACAATGACTTCAGAAGCTCATTTTTCGCCAGACCGAACGTTTTGGGGCCCAGTCACGGTGACGTCATGTTTATAAACAAGCAACACAACTATTTTCAGCAGACCATATGCTGCAGATTGCATGATCTACATGGCCAATACGAATTCTCGGCCTAGGGGTATTCGGGGATTGTACAACGAACAACTAACCAACGAAATCAGTTCATTTACCGGCAGACGACAAGACTAATAAACGATGTAAACAAATAGTTGTAACCATATTATAAAATTTTAATGTACATAATACCACGTAAAAAGTATTAGTATTAGTCGCCACTCGAGTTTCAATGCGGGTTACGTCGTGCCTTCCAGGCATGTGAAAATCCCCGCAGACGTCAGTCAAGAATGTAATACATGTGATATCAACTGCAGGCCCGTGGCCAGCACTTTTGAATAGGGGGTTCGAAAACAACAATTATATATTTGATGTGAAATGTGTAAATTTTATAATATTCAAAAAGTGCATTTGAGCTCTGTTACAGACATTTTTATATTATCGGTTTGAAATTAAATTTTATTGGTAAGATATTTCACATAACATCTTTGAACTATTTTACCATTTTAGAGAAGGGGCCCTGAGCCATTCCTCACCTACAGACAAACACATCCACACCATTGATCCACTACGGAAAAATGTTGTACACACAAAAAAAGACAAGACTGTACGTATCTTAGCATTATTGTCTAAGTATTTTAAGGTAGAATGCTACTTGCGAGTTTCTTCGCTCTTCGCAGATGTTAGCGCACATAAAAGTAACACGATTACGTGTCGAAATCTGTCTACAATTATTCATTTTAGTATTAGTCAATTTTGTATTATGTAAATTTATTTCTGTACAGAGCCTCAGCCTATCGTACAAAATGTAATGGGTAGAAAAGTGCATAGCCCGTTTTAAACACAATACAACGTCCATGTAAACATATGGTACTAAGTTAAGCTGAATTCATATTCATCTTCGTCGCTTGAAAACTTTTAAAAGATATAGAGCTATTTGTTATATGGTGTGGCAGTTTGTGTAGTGACGAAGTAAGTCCAGACTGTCAGTATTTGCATAATTGCACAGGGTTATTGACAAAAGATCAGCCCTTAGATCATTATAAAATGGACATATAAAAACAAAGTGAATTTCATTTTCTACCATGCTAAATTCGAACGTATCACTGGAAAAACTAAAAAAAATATTGATCTAACTGTATTTGTGTGTGTCTGCCTCAGGCTAAATCAACATTATGTTTATGGCCAAAACAGCGAAAACTCGTCAGTATATATTTTAGTCTATAATTGCTTGCCAATGAATCTCCCAGGTTATAATACTACTTTGATTTTTCCAAAAGTACACAGCCTGGATGATTGTGAAATTGAGGCATGCCACTATTTTTTTATTCTTTGTGTAAATATCCCTAAGAAATTTGCAGTATCTCCAACTTGTTTTTCAAACCAGACAATGCCGAAACCATATTTGAACAGGAGATTTTTATGTGGGTTCTCCAAGCTAGTCTGCCGGTCTTGTCTAATCCTTAAGCATGATATAACATGTTTTGGGGTTTCAGTAATTTTAACCAATATGAGATACAACGCTTGAAATAACCACAGCACAATGGCAGCCTTCCACATTCGTCTAACATCGCTACATTGTTTGCACAACTATTAATGCTAAGTACCGGGTAGATATCTGCAAAATGTTATCTGTACCCTCTCGATTTCCGAATTTACGTACCCCCATATCGCTACCATAAGACATATCTGGCACAATGATTGCATCAAACAAATTAAATGCACTAACAAATCGCATACTACCATGTTTCTTGCAGTATGTAAATATATTTGGTTCACTGTAAATCTGTTTTAGAGGGCGGTAAAATAATATGCATACAGTGGAAGTTTAGCAGCAGTCTCAATAGACTTCAATGACTACAACCCCTTTTATGAACCCACT